GGGGGGGGGGGGGTGGTGTGGTCACACACAGCCCCTGCCGCCAGTGCAGGTCCCCAGTGTGCGTGCCCCGGGGAGCTGCGGGGGCCACGCGCTCATAGCCGGTTGAAGGGCTCAGGGGCCCGTGGAGCCCGTCCGTGGTATGTGCTGGGGGAAGTGTCTTGGGAAGGGACCCTGGATCGGCCTCTAGCAAAGGGAGGTGGGAGGGGCCGGGAAGGAGGGCTGGGGTGGGGAGCGGTGCCTGTATAAACGTGGCTGTACATAGAAAGATCTATTGTGGGAGAGCAGGAGGGGCGACCCAGCCTCAGCTGCTAGGGTGAGGGCTGGGAAGGGAGGGGCAATCTCTGTGGACCCTTGGGAGGGGAGGGGTGCTGCTTGGATGTGACAGGGCTGGTGGCTGGGGCGATCCTGGAAACTAGGGGGTAATGTGATGGTGACGCTCTAGACACAAAAATACAAAGCTGGTGAGGTTAAAGCTGGATGTGTGTGTGTTCCTACGGACGATGTTGACACTTGAGGACCCCCCCCCCCGAACATCAAATCAGACACTACTAAGAAAGTGTACAAACTTTATATTGGAGCAAATACACGCGCGCGCGCGCACATACACACACACAAACACACAAGCAAGCTCACACAATACCTGTGGATCGGGAGAGCACCTGGCCATAGGTTCACAGAAATCGGAAGAAGTGGCAGTTTGAAATGGGGCTTTTGCCACAGCCTTCCTTGCATAAAAGGTCTTAGTTTGAGGTCCCACCTCCCATGGTGATGGGGTGACTCTAGGGGAAGGGGTGGTTTAGGGAGGCCTGAGTGATGGATAACCTCTGAACCCAGGGCTGTGGAGTTCTTTAGTCTTTAGCCCCTCCTTACAGCAGCTGTCTTGGGGCTGGATTCGTCAAAGATGTGTCCCAGTGAGGGATCTTCCTTCGAAAACACTTGGTTCCCTTGACTGAACAGTGGAAGCCAATGGGACAACAGTGATGGCCATCTGCACAGCAAGTGCCCTGGATGGTCAAGGGAGAGTTAGTACTGGACAAGGCAGAACCCACCCCATGGTGACACCCAGCCCCAGGATCAGGGATGGCACTGACCTCTAGGTAGGGACAGCAGGCCCAGCCTCCTTGGCTGTTTCTACAACAGGTTTGGCCATCATGGCAGTAATGCCCTGTCCCACACTCCACTTCCCCAACCTGAGGGCCTAAGGTCAGGTGGACAGGAATCTGGATGGAATTCACAGCCTTCTCACAAGTCCTTGCCTTCACGTTGCAGATGTACCCAGTCGGGCAGCAGTGCTGCCGGTCTTCACAGCACACAGCCTGGGAATGGGGGATGGTATCACACTGCTGTGCTATACTAACCCAAGAACACAGCTCCTTTCGCCCAGGTCGGTGGGTGGAAACTCACATGGGGTAACTGGCAGCAGGCCCAGTCTCCCTTCAGGCTAGGGCAGCAGGTCTGCCCCACCGGACAGCTGGTGTGCTGGTCACAATTGTTATCTCCAATTTGGGACAGAAATGTCTCGTGAGGGTGTATCTTCTCCAGGACAGCCACCATTCTGTTTCCCCCCTGACAGTACCCCTCCGCTGTACATGTGAAGCCCTTGGGGCAGCAATGCTGGTGATCTGCACAGCAGACAGCCTAGGGGTGGGCAGAGAAGAGTGTTCTTTGGAGGGACTATGGAAATCCCTCTCCTGCTCATAGATCCTCCACCAGTGGGCAAACCACAGCCCGGGGTACTACCCTGGACTAGGCAGAATGCATAAAAATAAAGCAACAGGACACCTGCCACCCACCTGCCCAGGCCAAGATGCTGTCCCCACACCCATACTCCTGTCCCCCTACCCTTGTACCTCTGGGATGGGACAACAGCCCCAGCCCCCAGAACTGAGTCTGCAGCAGGTATTGTCAGGAGGACAGACAGTGAAGTCATCACAGGGGACATCACTCTGGAAGATTTCTGCATCTAGCAGGCTGAGGGGGGCTTTGACCTTCTTCATCCAGGGCACCCGGAGGCCTCCCATTTCACAGGTTCCTGTCTCTGTGTGACAATGAAACCCTTCTGGGCAGCAGTGTATATGGTCCTCACAACACACAGCCTAAGGTGGGCAGAGAAAGACCAATAAGTACTGGAGCCAAGCTAGTTGCAGGCTGTTTGGATGCGTATACCCACTGCTCCCAGGTACCTTGCTAAATGGACAGCAGCCCCAGGACCCGATGGTAAGGTAGCAGCAAGTGTATCCATCTGGGCAGCTCACCTCCGAGTCGCACTCCACCTCCTTCAGAATAGGCACTGGAACCAGGTGTTGAAGATGGAGTATGTAGCTATCTCAATCCACAGGATACATCTGGCAGGTCCCTCCATGCAGCCAAACACCCACCCCCACATCCGTTCCAGAACTGAGCGGATGAAATAGTCTACCCCCTGTACCTGGGTTTCCAAACAGCCTGGACAGGAGGTACGTGGTGGACTTCTTGGATAGGCACTTACTCTGGATCAGGTCACACACAGTGTCCTGGGGACAGCAGTGCAGATGGTCGGAACAGCAGACGGCCTAGGGTAGGGACAAATATGGGACCCTGAATTCCAGTGGCTAGAGAGCATAGGGAGCAAGCCAGACTGACGACCAACACTGCCCCAATCTCCCACTAGGGGGCAGCATGAGCCTTGAGGCTCCCGGCAATCAGCCCAGTTCCTAGAGCCCCCTTGTAAGGATATGTCCAGGCACAGCTCTTCACTCACATTGGGCATTGGACAGCAACCATACTTCCCACTGGGTAGCTCACAGCAGGTAGAATCATCAGGGCACTGGGTCTGGGCATCAGGGCACACCACCGAAAAATGCAAAGCCACTGAAAGAGGAATGAGATGTGAGGGAGGGGCTGCCAGGATGGAGGGGAACTTCTTTTCTAGCCAAGAGTTAATGTGGCTTCCCCCCACCCCAAGTGCTAGCTGGATGGTTTCTCCCCTGCTCACCTGCCCTGCTTTTCCTTTGTGCAGGGAACTTCTTTAACAGGGGGTGGGTGCCCCTAGGTGAAATGCATTCTGTATGAATCATGTCACAGAAGGCCCCATGGGGACAGCAATGTATTTTGTCTTCACAGCAAGAGGCCTGACAAGAGATAGATGGTCCATAATCCATCTTCATCAGCCCCAACTCCCAGCTGTACCCCTACTACCCGCTAGTCACTCCCATTTCCCCACATCTGTACCTGGGGCATGGGGCAGCACCCCCAGGAACCATCAAGCATAACGCAACAGGTAGAGGATTCCGGACATTCGAATTGGCTACCGGGGCACTGGACAGCCCTCAGGAGGCTATCTGCAGATAGGAGAGTCCAGGATCCCACCAATCCAGTCAGCAAAGGTCACCCCCAGCATCGGCACTACAGGCACTGCAGGGCCAGCTTCAGAAGGTCTAATAGCTGGTACTGGGGCTTAGGTGATCACCCAGGATCCCAGGCCACTCTTCCCACAAGCTAGCCCCTACTTCAGAGAGATGACAGAGGCATCCAAGGAAAGTGGGCGGGTGTTAAATCGCTCCAGCATGGCCTCTCCATGGCCCACATCACCTGGAGTTCTGCATCGTTGTCTGTCCCCTTCTACTCTGTGAACCACCCCTCTGTTCAGAGCAGAAAAGGAATCAGAGCCACCCAAGCAGTTGGGCTCCTGGGCATTTCAGGTACCACATCATGCCCACCCCCCCTCCCTCCCTCCCCACCTGCCTCCATCCCTGGTGCCCCACAGCACCTGAATGTCGGAAGCAGGTTGTCCCATCCGAACTACAGTGGAAGCCCCGGGGACAGCAGTGGTAGCCATCACCACAAGATATACCCTGTGGGACACAGAGAAGCCTGTGTGGGCCTAGGAAAAGCCTTTTGTCTGGGACTAGGAAAGTGGAAAGGGGTAAACGCAAATCTTAAGCACACAGCCTATGTCAATAGCACCCTCACCTTAGGGAAAGGGCAGCAACTGGAAGTCCCTGACACAGTGAGGAGACACGAGTAACTTCCAGGACAGTGGTCATGGACCTGACAGATGCCACTTAGACGATCGCTCATTACCATAGGCAATGTGTCCTGGAAAGAAGCAATGACATATACCAGAGGATCTGTGCCAGACCTCTTCTGGCCAATCCAAGGTAACCCTTCAAAAGGCCAGGATGCCAGCTGGGGCGTGAGACACTCACCAGAATAGGGTTGCAGCAGCTGTAGCTGGCTCCTCCGGGGTCCAGGCAGCAGACAATAGGGCACGACTGACCATCTGGACACTGTGTTCCAGCCACCAGGCCTGCCATGAAGGCCAGCCAGCTTACCAGGGTCCACATGGTCTGCCTGCAAATGCCAAGGAAAGTTTGGCAGCCATCTTAAGCTTATGCCACCTTCTATTCTGAGTCCATGCAGTTCCCCATGCCCTGGCCAAGGCATGACATGCCTTGGATTTATTGAAACTTCTCAACAAGTGAGCAGGAAGGCAAGCAGCTGCCTGAGTCAGCATCCTACACTGTAAGCATCACACTTGCACCAGCTTGCACACACGGTGAGCACGAATGCTGGCATGAACACAAGTGTCCATCATGTCATCACACGTGGCCTAACACCTGACACTATAGGCGACTGGAGAGGCGCGGAGTTATGACAGTCAGGAAGCCATGTGGCTTTGATTTATGGGACTGTGGGCTAACTGGGAGGAGACTTCAGCGGCCACAAGAGGACAGCCAGCCTCACCTCGCTGCCTGGCACTGAACTCCCACATGTACTTTTCAAAGGCCTTGGGGAAACAGAGTTGTCAATCACATGATCATATGGGAAACCAGGGGTTGAGAAAGTTGTGAAAACGGAAGTGCAGTGGCCAGGGGAGTCTGGGCTGCCTTTCCCACAGGCCAGCCACTGCCTGCCCACAACTGTCCCCTCCCCACCCAGGGGAAGGGCACATGGAGGCTGGATTAGCCTTGAAGCTAATTTCATAACCAGCCCTCCTCAGCATCACCAGGACTCCTTTGGACTCCTCAAACATACCACCTGTTTCTCCCTACTCAGAAATCGAAACTCAGCTGCAAGAGCAAAGTTAAGTGTACTTCTTCACTGGCCCTCTGCCTTAGCAGGAGGAACCGAGTCTCTCACTTCCCTAATAAGTCTTTCCCCAGCACAGCTGGCCTACCCAGCAACCCAGAGTGACACTCCCCTGCCTGGGGCAGCAAAAACAGCAATATTCAAAGACCCTCCAGGGAGCCACTTTGCCCTTCCTTACTGTATTTCTCTGCACAACTATGCAAAGCAGTGATCAGATTACTTTCACTTTTCAAATCCATGCCCAGGTATCAAGTCAGAGAAAACAGACTGCAGATATTGGACCTGGATTCTTATGTCAACTGACATCCCTGAACATTGCCAGGGAATGGACCCCAAATCCCAGAGGCCAGAGGTCCAAGCAGAGGGAAGCGGGCAGAACATTTCCCAGGCAGGTGACCTACACAGGATAGAAATAGGGTGGGTACAGCCAGACGGTGGTGGCACACGCCTTTAATCCTAGCATCCAGAAGCAGAGGCAGGTGGATCTCTGTGAGTTCAAGGCCAGTCTGGTCTACATAGCAAGTTCCAGGACAGCCAGGGACAAAAAGATCCTGCTCAAAAACAAAAGCAAAACAAAAAAATCTACAAAAGAAAGGGTGGGTACAGGGACGGTGTAAAATCTGCCACTGATCAATTGCTGAGGGCCTCAGAAATTGTTTCCTGTGCCTCAAACTCTGAATACTGGTGGCCATGGAAGGCAAAATCCCAACATCCAGACCTCAAAGCTTCCGATAGGCATGACAAACATGCTTTTGATCCCTGCACTTGGGAGGCTAAGGTGGGAGGATTACAAATTCCAGGCTACTGGGTGACTATGAGGTCAGCCTGGGCTACATAGAGGATCTGTCCCTCATTGTGCCCCCTCCCCTTCCTTCTCTAGGTTTTCAAGCACCCTCTCAAAGAATATCCCAGAGGTCATCTCCTGGCCAGATTAGAATGGGGTAGGGGAGACCTAATCCCTTTCATTAGGGTTAGGGAGTGGTGACCTCTGGCCACCTCTACACCACTCTGTTGAAATAGCCTGAGAGGACTGGAGGAGCCTTTCAAGGCCCTAGCTTCGAGATCTTCCACTAGGTGGCACCCCCGACTCCGGAGTGTCAAGGGGAGATGAATTTCCCAAAAGGTGAGCCAATCCAGCAGAGGAGCAGGGAAAAGTGGCGGGGAGAGGCGGAAGTTAGCTCTCTCGCCCCCCATAAAGGAAGTACGGCTGACACAACCCAGGGATTCTGCCACCACGCCCAACTCCTGCTCCCAACTCCTCTGAGCTCTGGGACCAAGAGCGGGAGATCCCCACCCACTGCAAGTCGCCGCGAAGACTACTGGCGGCACCAGAATGGGAAAGTGCCGGGACCTGGAGACAAGAGGTGGGAGGCACCGAGAGAGATGAAGCTGGCCCAAGAGTGGGGCGCTTCCTGCTCTGGAGAAAGCCCTGCAGCTTTCCGACATGCTGGGCAGGGGAGCCTCTTGTTGGTGGTGTCTACAGCAACTGTTCCCACTCCTCCCAAATGACAAACCCTCGTTAGTGCATCTGAAACCCCGAGGGGAGTTTCAAGAGGCAGGACTTCTCTCGTCTCTGAGCTGAGGCTCCGGGGCAGCCTCAGTTGCACAGCAAGCCTGGCCAGGCCTCTGGACAGCAGCCAGGGAGATGTCTGCTGCGGGTCCTCCTACCTGCTTCGGGGTCCGCACTCCCTGGGAGGCATCTGGCTGTCAGCTCTCGGACTAGGGCTTGGCTGCCCGATGGCCCGCCCACCTCAGTTTCCATTAGCCCTGGGTCGGGAATCCGGGGCTTCCATTGGCTACTTGTCTACATAGAGGCGGGACTCTCCAGGAATGCTGTGTTTCTTTTCTACTCAATCCACACTCCTCCTCCCTTTCCTCTCTCTCCCCACACCCCATGTCTAGGAATCATGTGACCAGGCAATCATATGACACCATAGCCCGCCTCCCCCAGGGCCTCGCTTGCTTGTTCGGTTGCTTTCCTCCCACCCCCCAGGGCCCTGGCGGCGCCTGGCGAGGTGTTCTAGAGATGGGGCTTGCGTACCTAAGGCCACCGACAGTTAAGAAGGCGCCTGCGGGGCGCGCGTTCAAGGTCGTTTACAGCATAGCGTCGGCTTCTGGATCGGGACATTTGTACATTCACTGTTTTCACGCTAGGCAGCCAGGACTCCAAACAAGCTGAAAGATAGTTGGGAGGGTAAAGATAAACAGTCCCCAGATTTGGGTGGGATACTAAATCTAATAAATGTTCAAGGGCGAGTACCAGGCAGGAGATTGGCTGAAGGTAGGGGAAGAATAGATGTAAATCCACTTTGAGCTAGCCAGGAGATGGTATCACGCTGAACTGAATCTAGAGGAATTTTAAGGGGCTGGTTAGGCGGGACAGAGGCACTCCGGAAGAGGTTAGGAAAGCAGATGGGGAGTACAGTGTCTAGCAAGAGTTAAAAGCCACATTCAAAGTAAGGGCATTGGGCATGAGCTAAGTATGTGGCATGGGCTGGTGAAGCAGGCTGGTGGCTGTGGAGGTGCAAGAGGCCTAGTTTCAGCTACCCCTACCTTCGAGGAATTGTCATGGTCCATGAATAGAGATTTTTAGCAGTAGAACAGATTAGCCAGAAACAAAAGCCAGGCTGCTGAGTGCCAAAGGGCCTGGGCCAGACAGAAATGGCTGATTGGAGACCTGCCAGGAAGAGGACAGGCCCCAGGAAAGCCCAAGGCTGGGCCTTGTAGGAAAGGCAGAGTTGGTGTGGAAGATAGGTCCCCTGGGAGGAGCAAAGAGCTTGACTGGTAGGCCACTCAGGGGAATGGGGACAGCCCTACGAATAAATCCAGGACAGTAAGAGTCTTGCATAGAGAGGAGCCTGGTGGGCTTCTTGGGCTAGAGCTACAGGAATCGCAGAAAGTGGAGGCCAACGTGGAGTATCTAGGGTAATTCTGCAATTCTGTAATTGCTTAACACAGCCCCAGTATCCTTGCAGCTCTCTGAGTCAGGGTCTCCTGTGTTCCAGATCAGCCTCCAACTTGATATGTATCTGAGTATGACCCAGAACTTCTTGTTTCCCTGCCCCTGCTGCCTCCCAAGCTCTGAGATTGCAAGTGCAGGCAACTGTGCTGTTTCTGTGGTTCTGGGGTTAAGCCTAGGGCCTGTGTCAGCTAGGCAAATGCTATCAACTGAGCTCCATCCCAACCCCAGGACTGCCTTATAAGAAAAAAAGAATTGTTGGGGGCTGGGGCTGGTAAACTCAGCAGGTAAAGGCACTTACCAACAAAGCTGACAACCTGAGTTTGATCCCTGTGACTCACATGGTAAAATCAAAGACATGACTCCCCAGAAGTCATCCTCTGACTTCTGCACATATGCCATAGCATAAGTCTACCCACAGACTTACATGCTCACACACTAGAACATACACACAAAAAAAAAAAATAAAATGGGAAACAAAGTTCTGGGGGCTATAGCTTAAGTAACGGTAGAGCTCTCACCTAGCATGAAATGTTCTGGGTTCAATTCGAAAGAAAGAGACAGCCAGAGGGAGCAGTAGGCTCACATATATCATAGGACAATGATATATTTTGCCAGTCAGTCTCTCAATGTCCGCCTTGGTTGGGGGGAGGGGCCTGTTGTTTTTGTTGTTTGAGACACAGGGTTTCTATGAGTAACCCTGGCTGTCCTGGAACTCCTCTGTAGATCAGGCTGGCCTCGAATTCACAGAGATCCATCTGCGTCTGCCTTACAAGTGCTGGGATTAAAGGCATGTGGCACTGTGCTCGGCTCTACCTAATATTTTGAGATGTCCTCAGTCACCCACAGAAACAGCAGATGGTCATTTCAGCCAGGCTGGCCAATGGGCCTCTGGGATCTACCAGTCTCCACTCCCAGCATCATTGCTTTCAATGTGCACAGCTCCACCTCACACTTGCAGGGCAAGGACTTGACCACTGAGCCATCACCCTAGCCTCTGAATTTTATTATGTTTGTTGTAGGGTTGGGGAATGTGGGACAAGTGCTCTACCTCTGAGCCACATCTCCGGTCCCCATCTTAAATCTTTGGAGTAGACTGGGCGTTCAAGGCCCAGGAAAGCTAATGGTAGAAGCAAATCCAGGCCATTTTTTATTTAAAATTTTACTTACTTTTTATATGAGTGCTCTGTACATATATTTGCACACCAGAGAGGGCATCATATCCTCTTATAGATGGTTGTGAGCCACCATGTGGTTGCTGGGACTCAAACTCAGGACCTCTGGAACAGCAGCCAGTGCTCTTAACCTCTGAGCCATCTTTCCAGCCCCCGGCCCCAGACCATCTTTTTTAATGATTCAGGCTTTACACTGTTTGGGTGAGCCCCACTCAAATGATAAAGGGCAATTTGGTCTACCCAGACCTAAATTTAACATCATGCAAAACACATAAAGGGACACACAGAGTTAGCCACCATGTTACCCTTTGCTCTGTTTTCCTATACTTTTACTGTACTATACTATGTCGGTGCTTATATATACTGGATATTACATATTTTGCAGACATTCCCTCCCTGCCTGTCACTTGTGTTTTGTGTTTTGTGATGTTAAATCATCTAAAATCTATTGATCAATCTTTCCTCTGTGTGTGTGTGTGGTATGTGTGTGTCTGTGTGTGGTGTGTGTGAGTGTGTGTGTGTGTGTGTGTGTGTTGTGTTGTGTGTGTGTGTGTGTGTGACTGGGTGTGTGAGTGTGTGTGTGTGTGTGTGTGTGTTGTGTTGTGTGTGTGTGTGTGTGTGACTGGGTGTGTGAGTGTGTGTGTGTGTGTGTGTGTGTTGTGTTGTGTGTGTGTGTGTGTGTGACTGGGTGTGTGAGTGTGTGTGTGTGTGTGTGTGTGTTGTGTTGTGTGTGTGTGTGTGTGTGACTGGGTGTGTGAGTGTGTGTGTGTGTGTGTGTGTGTGTTCGTCTTGTCCCATTCCTGGTCAGAATTTATAAATAGAAAATAGAGACTTGGTGTGGCTCCATATCAAGCACATACCTGGTGTGTAAGAGGTCCTGATACTGTCATTATTAACACGTGCTGTCCACTTCCAGTCTGATGCCCAGATGCCAGACTATGCTGGAGGGAGGCTGTGCAAGTCACTGGACATCCTGTGTTGGGTGATGGAGGTTTTTGTAGGTATCCCCAGTAAAGTTACACCTCCCTCTGCTCTGGTTGGCCAAGTCAGGGCTGTGGGGCTCTCCCTCCTGTGACCTTTCCCTTCTCCCAGTCTCTCCCTTGTTCTTCAACAGTCCCTTCAGGGTTTTTGTCAGTCACGGTTGCTGCTCTGTCACGATAGAAGGGCCATGACTATACCAGTGTGGGAGCTCCTCCAGTCTCCAGGATCTTGACATGTCAGATAAAATTCAGAATGTCCAGTTAATTGAATCACACGTTTATTTGTTTGTTTTTGAGACAGGGACTCACTATGGAGACCAGACTTGCCTCAAATTGCTACAGATCCACTTGCCTCTGCCTTCCGGATGCCATCACACACCAGACTCTAAAAGTAAATGTCCTTTAGTGTAGGTATGCCTTATGAACAAAAATGAAAATAAAGGCAATAACAACAGAAGCACCACCCATGAAGCATTTGAGACACACTTGGAAATTATCCACTGTGTTCTGAAACTGAAATTTCGCTGGTGGTTTTGTAATTTTATTTGCTCTATCTGCTTAACCATGGAAGACCAAGGCTGGAGAGAGCATAAAAGCAATTTCCTATCCCTCCCCACCCTCCATCCCCCCACCGCACCCCGCTTGGCCTCTCGCCTGAGTCATTCTGTCATGAGCCATTCTTTCTTTGCCCTTCTCATGGGACACCAGAGCAGCTGCCTTCCAGCTGTGGCCCCAGGACACACAGGATAGGATGAGTCACAGCCCAAAGGACTAGCTTGTCAGGAGCCCCTTCACCCCCTGTTTGAATGGAGTCACACAATCACCCATCTTCCATGGTCAGGAGTGGTGGTGGGCAAAGGAGACTAAGATTCTGGGAGATGGTTCCAAAAAGTCAGCCTGGAAGGAAGACTGGTGCCCAAGGCTCTCCACAGAGGAGGAAACGTAGTGGCATCTTGTTTCGACAGTGGACTTGAGATGGTGGCCACATGATACAAACAAATCACGTAAGGCAGGATATAAATCAGGAGATATAAGTAAAGTGGTTCAAAGCCCTTATAACTCGGTGCAAAAGGCAGAACTGTATGCTATTCTTATGGTACCAAAATCTAATACAGGGTAAAATCTCACTACCTAAACACCTACATCTCCTTAACTTCCCAGGATAGTGGTAGTCCCGGTTCACTTAAAAAAATCAAAGCTAGCTTTAGAGTTGTACTGTGGTTCTCTCCTTCTCTAAATCCAAGCATATTGCTAAAAGAAAAACTCAGTTTTTGCCTAAGAAGAGTCAACTGGTATGAGACAGAAGAAAACCAAAATCTAGGGACTATTATTGTCAAAACCCTGTTATCCCTCAAAAAGTTCTAATTTTCCCCATACTTATTTTCATCTTTATTGGTACCTTTCTTTGTATGCATGCCTATAAAAATTTAAACTTTATGTTTTGATATTAATGTTTAAGTCTTCCACAGTGAACAATAAAATTTCCTAACAGCAATCTCTGAAGTCTCCAGAAAGAAGATGGAGCCCCAAAACATTGATTCTACTTGGTTCAAAATGATGTCTTTGAAGTAGTAAACATCAGTCAAGGATTAGTTTTGGACTAAAACTGCTCTAGACAATTCCAGATTAGCTAGCTGAGATGGTCTACCTTCTTACACACTCAGGCCAAAGCTTCAGATAAGAACTTCAGATAAGCCTCACCTGCTACTCAGAGACCAGCTACAAATGTTACAGCTAGTCTTCTTAAGACTTAACTACTCCTTTTCTTTTGGTTTTTTTTTTTTTTTTTTTTTTTTTTTTCCCTATTGGATCCCATGGAGATACCTTCACCCCCATGACAGCTGGAAGTAATTCTAAGGAAAAAATGTCCCCCTTTCCTACAGTTGGCTTAGATGGCGGTTTTCCTTGAACTAGCACTTGTAGATCAGGCTGATCTTGAACTCACAGAGATCTGCCTCCCACGTGCTGGGATTAAAGGTGTGCACCGTCAGCTGATGTTTTGGTTTTTCCTAAGGTTATGGATAATAATTGTCAACTGCTTAGGGTTGGTTTTAAGTTGTGTAAGGTTGGGAGTGGAATATGACATTCAGACTCAGGAATCGCTTTTAGAAAAGCATAAAGGGAATATAAGTAGATTAGTAGTATATCTTCTTGTGAACTATTTTAGCAACTATTAGCTATAGACAGCTTACATTGTTGTAGATTCTTGTATATTGATACTTATGTAAAATTAATTTTGTATTCCTGCCTTGGGTAATTTGTATATTGTTTCAAACTTGAAATTGTATTTGTCATACTGTGTAGGTTCCTTTTTCTGTTTATAATGTTTTTGCATACAAATGTCAAGTTATTTTTATCATATTGTATGTATGTATGTATGTTTCTACATACACTTAAGATATTTTGTATATTGACACTATTTAGGATATTTTTTTATCATTTTGCACTATACAGTTCTACCTCTGATCAAGATATACATATAAATGCATATAGTTACAATTTTGAGGTAATTGTCCTCATGCTTCATATCTGTTTAAAGATTATTTAACTTATATATGGGAAACTTCAATCAGTAAATTTGAGAATTACAAGTTATAGTCATCCATGTTTCTTCTTCTTCTTCTTCTTTTTTTTTTGGGGGGGGGTTTCGAGACAGGATTTTTCTGTATTGTTTTGGAGGCTGTCTGACCAGTCTGGCCTCAGACTCACAGAGATCCGCCTGCCTCTTCGTCCCTAGTGCTGGGATTAAAGGCGTGTCCCACCAAGCCCATCCATGCTTCTTATACCTAGTTATGTTAGTCAGGTTTTCTATATGCTCAGAGAGGTACTCAGCAGAGATATTTGATCTTCAAACATTACAAAGACCTACAGAATATGGCATTTAAATGTTTTAATATTTTAGAACTCTGTAGACATGAGACCCAATTGCTCCTGGCAGCACCGAGCTCTTCCTGAGAGTATGATGGGCAACAGTGACACTCCATTTGGAGTTCGTTTTCTTCTTGGCAAAACTGGCCTTTTGAGTAAAGAACTGTCCTTGCCTCAACTGCTGACAATTGTCACACTGTCCTAATTGGACAAGCAGGAGATAAACAAAAAGAGACTGCTGAATCTTGCCAAGCCAAGGAAGGACAGCCTTTCCTGCTTCTGATACGGTCTGTCAGATACTCTAGACCTTAGTCAAAGTTAGTTGCCCTGTTACTGTGAGACCTTAGTGACTTGTTGTAGCCCATCTTTGTGGGGCTTCAGTAAAGGATTTTTTGAAAAATTTTTGTGGGCAGCCAACTTTGCCCAGGGAGTGTAGATTGAGAAATGGCAGGTAAAGATGATTTAAAAAAAAAAAAAAGACAGAGACACAGATAGAGTCAGGAGGGCAATCCAGTGAATACTGAACGCCCCAATGTTACTCTTCACCCTTCTTAAACACCCCAACCAAAAAGGGGAACATGGCGAAAGACTTCTTTGTCATGTACAAGAAACAGACTTTATCTCTTAATTCTCCCAGCATTTGATAACCACACCTTAGACTAAATCTCTCATTATCTGGCTTTGATAATAACCACACCTCCAGCACTTGGGAGGCAAAGGCAGATGGATTTCTGTGAGTTTGAGGCCAGCCTGGTCTCCAGAGCGAGTGCCAGGATAGACTCCAAAGCTACACAGAGAAACCCTGTCTCAAAAAACCAACCAACCAACCAACCAACAACAACAACAACAAAAGTAGCCACACCTCAGAGCAAGCCTGTTGTTATTTAGACAAGACATCTAAGACTAAGATCCAACATCCTACTGTAGCCATGCCTTAGACCTTTAGGTCTTATGACTTAGTAAGGACAGTTTTGAACTCTCTGACCTTGAGCCAAGATGAGTGGAGTCATCTTTATGGGCCTGGACAGTGACTGACCAGGTAGCCTGCTGTTTCTGTCATTTCTCACTCCTGTAGGAAGTCTCCCGCTTGCACTTCCTGCTTACCCTAGTAATGTTATTTTCCTTCTCAGGTCTTTGATGAGCTTGAAGACTGGATAGTCACAGCTTATGTCCTCTCTTAGCTATAGCATAATAGGTATGAGACTTAGACTCTCTAGAATAGGACAGCACTTGGAGTAATCTCTGCTATATGTCATTACCCTTGGACTGGGCATTTATTGTTTCTTGCCTAATGTTGCTCTTACTGGTTGTAGGTGATGGGGGATGTCCTTCTGTATGCTGTGAATGTATGTTTCTCTTATTGGTTGATGAATAAAGCTATTTTGGCCAATAGACAGGCAGGATTTAGTCAGGTGGGAAATCCAAACAGGAATAGAAAAAGGTAGTAGTTGGAGTCAGGGAGACTCCATGTAGCTGAGGAGGAAGCAAGAGGCTCAGGCATCACTGGCAAGCCAAGACTATGTGGGTATACACAGATTAATAGAAATGGATTAATAATTAAGGAAGAGTTATCCAATAAGAAGCCTGGGCTTCTCACCAATGACAATGAATCAACAACATGACAAAGTTATAATATCACCAAAGTCCAAACAGGTGAACCAATGGGTTTATTGGGGGTTTCTTACACGTGCATGGCTAGAAATTGCTTACAGGAGCATGAATGACTAAAAGACAATCATAGCACTGAAAGCCTGTCCAAGCATAAAGGATAACTCATGAAAGTTATAACATGGAGTTCTGATCACAATTTACAGGCAACTTTACACATAGAACAGTCTCCTCTCCTCAGAAGACATCACTGCTTATACAATTTTGGGAAAGGAGGAGCTTTATGAATCTGGTAAGTTTCAAGGACTTTTTGAGACTTGTGAGTTGTTTCCTTCCTAGGTCTTTTTGTTGTTGTTGTTGTTGGCTACACAGAAACTCTGTCTTAAAAAAAGAAACACAACACTCACTCTGCAGACCAGGGTGGCTTCAAATTCAGAACTCAGAGATCAATCTGCCTCTGCTTCCCAAGTGATGGGATTAAGGGCATGCACCACCACTGCCCAGCTCCTTCCTGAGAGAGACCTTTGCCAGCCAGATGTGGAGGAAGCAGT